TTGCTAAAAATATGGCACCCCAGAGCCTCACCTGATGAAAGGAAGGGTTGAAAATGAAAGTGAAAGGACACCTTTAATGAAAGAATGGTCACCTGAACAGAAGGTCAACAATTGAGAAGTTATTGCTACTGAAACCAGATAACATGGTACCCTTTCTGGTTTTATTTTCTTTCCTACTGTGGGAAGAATCCAGAGAAAGAAATATTTTAAGAAATATAAAAAAGGCAGAATTTCTTTCCCCAAAGCAATAATGGAGAAGATCTAAAAAAAAAAAAAAAAAAAGACAGAAACCAGCCCCCAGAAATCAGCCCCAGCCCCCAGGCAGAGGCCAGCTTTTAGAAATGCAAATTCAATAATCCATTCAGGAAGATTGGAGCCAGGAAGCTAGAAATTAGGAAGACAAAGAAACCTAAAATCTACATACCCTCCACCCAAATTCTAAGGACAGGAGACATAATAGGATTAACCCACCAATACCAAAAGGGCACACTTAGACTCAGGTCAAAGTACATGATACAGGAAATATAAAGCCTCAAACAGGAACAGGAAACAACCTCCAGAGCCCCAGAAGGTATAAAAGCCCACCACTCTGCTCCATGTGGTCACTTTTTCCAGAGCCATCTTTCTGTCTGTCTTCTATAAACTACAACCTTCTTCCTAAAGCAGTCTCCATGTTGTTTATTCCCGGCTTGGACTTGACCCTGAAGATTTTTCTTTCAACACTACTGAAAAATTTATACAAATAAGTCCTTCTCCTCCTTCTCCTTTGTCCTTTCCCTTCCCTCTTCCTCCTCCTCTTTCTTCTCCTTCTTCTCCTTCCTCCTTCCCCCTCCTCCTCCTCTGTTTAATTTTTAAGGTTGATACAATTATTTTGACTTTGATTTTTTTCTTAAAGAAATGGATAAAAATAAGATACTAGTGTTCTACTGGAATGAAAGACATGTGTCTTTTTGAGAAAGTTATTAGGTTATAGTTCTAAAATTGCTGTGTGAAGGCAATCATGTCCTGGGGTCTAAACTGTTTATTACCCTGCTACTCGTGCAAGTTTCTTAATTTGTGAAATACCGATCTGGATTGATTGATTGAAATATCCCAGCGTGTTGCGCTGAGATGGTGTTCAGTGCGGACCAGTGTTTATCAATCTTGGCAAATCTAAGACATCTGGACTTCAACTCCCAGAATTCCAAGCCAGTATATTGGCTGGAGAATTCTGGGAGTTGAAGTTCAGACACCTTGAAGTTGCTAAACTATGACTACCACAAATTATGGCTATGGCTACCACAAACCCAATTGGTCATTTCTCAGCATTCTGCCCTTCCCATCCATGCATGGAAACTTAACTAAACTTCGAGCAACTAAGATGATTAATGACCCAGAGATTAAAATATATGAAGAAGGGTTCCATGAATTAGTATGGCTGCTCTACAGAAAAGAAGGACTAGGGGTGACATGATAGCAGTATTCCAGTATTTGAAGGGCTGCCACAAAGAGGAGGGGGTCAAATTATTTTCCAAAGCAGCAAAGGGCAGGACAAGAAGCCATGGATAGAAACTAATCAAGGAGAGAAGTAACCTGGAATTAAGGAGAAACTTCCTAACAGTCAAGAAGATCAACCAGTAGAACAGCTTTGCCTTCATTATTTATGGGTGCTTCACCGCTAGATGTTTTTAAGAAGAGACTGGACAGCCACCTATTTGAAATAGAATAGGTATAGGATCTCCTGCTTGATCAGGGGTTTGGACTAGAACAGGGCTAGGCAACCTTGGCTCTTTTATGATTCATGGACTTCAATTCCCAGAATTCCTCAGCCAGCCATGCTGGCTGAGGAATTCTGGGAGTTGAAGTCCACAAGTCATGAAGGGGCCATAGTTCCCCCATGCTGGCTGAGGAATTCTGGGAGTTGAAGTCCACAAGTCATGAAGGGGCCAAAGTTTCCCCCATGCTGGCTGAGGAATTCTGGGAGTTGAAGTCCACAAGTCATGAAGGGGCCAAAGTTTCCCCCATGCTGGCTGAGGAATTCTGGAAGTTGAAGTCCATGATTCATAAAAGAGCCAAGGTTGCCTACCCCTGGACTAAAAGAACTCCAAGGTCCCTTCCAGCTCTATTCTGAGTAATTATGAAAGCAGTTTTCTGGCTGGCACCTGTGTGGACTAGTAGTAATAGTAATAGTAGTAAAGTTGGAAGGGACCTTGGAGGTCATCTAGTCCAACCCCCTGCTCAGGCAGGAAACCCTACACCATTTCAGACAAATGGCTGTCCAGTCTCTTCTTAAAAACTTCCAGTGTTGGAGCATTTACTGCTTCTGGAGGCAAGCTGTTCCACTGATTAATTGGTCTCACTGTCAGGAAGTTTCTCCTTAGTTCTAGGTTGCTTCTCTCCTTGATTAGTTTCCACCCGTTGCTTCTTGTCCTGCCTTCAGGCGCTTTGGAGAATAGCTTGATTCCCTCTTCTTTATGGCAGCCCCTGAGATATTGGAATACTGCTATATTGCCTGCCCTGGTTTTTTTAAGGACTTCTTCCCCTTCACTAGTCCCTGTGCCCTTCCTTTCCTTTCGAAGATATTTGCAAAATGGATGCCATCCCCACCTCTCAAAAGATGATCTTTGATGCTAACACAGATCCTTTGTTCTTTGCTCTTTTTTCCTTTGTGGTTCCTTCACTGCTCTGATGCTGCAATGATCAGCCATCGGTAGAATCAAGGGACCCTGGGACATTGCAACCGTCATAAACCTGAGCCAGTTGCCAAGAATTTTATCCACGTGACCGTGGGGATACTGCAACAGGGGTAAGTGTGAAAAATGCTCATAAGTCACTTTTTTCAGTACCATTGCAACTTTGAACGGACACTAAAGGAACTGTTGGTAAGTCGAGGACTACCTGCATAGCCGCCCAACTTTGATGGACTCTTTAATCCACTGTTGCCATCACAAACGGTAAAACCTCTGGCCATTAAGTGTTTTCAGGATAAAGTTTAAAAAAGTCAGGATAATGGCCGCAATGATGTAATTGTAGCCCTGGCCTTTTCCACACAATGCAAGATTGGGTTGATTGTGGCTACGGCATGCAGAGGCAGCATTATCTAGCACCGTGGTGGCGAACCTATGGCACGTGTGTGCCACAGGAGGCACGCAGAGCCCTCTCTGTGGGCACGCGCAATGTCGCCCCAGTCCTAGGCCTTCAGCCGGGTTTTATAAAACCTTTTCACTTTAGGCCTCTGCCACTGTGTGCAAAAAAAAAAAAAAAGGTTCAATCAATCAATTAATCAATTTCAACTTCTCGTGGGAAAAAAAAAGATCTCACAAAGTTGGAATTGATTGATTGAACTTTTTAGTCCCACCAGTCTGCCGTTACCACCGAAGCCACGCCCACCCAATGGGTCACACCCACCCAATGGGCCATGCCCACCCGGCACCCCACAATGCATAAGTGGGTTTTCAGTTGCAGTTTGGGCACTCGATCTCTAAAAGGTTCGCCATCACTGATCTAGCATGTTTGACTGGGACTAGCGTCGGGTGCAAATGATCAGGTTTACATGTGGAGGTTCAATTAAACTTATTTATTGCTATCAACGCTACGCATAGGAAGATTTTGAACACTCGTCACCTAGCCAGAGTTAAATAAGGCTCAACAGCACTCCAGGAGAGTTAGATTTAGTGCTCTTGTGGCTATGTAGGGATTCTAGGCTGATTCCCCTTTTCATTTTGCCCCCAGAGTGTGCCATCCCTTCTCTTACAACTAGGAAGAGCCAGGTTGAAGCAGTTCCTAAACCATTGGCATCTAAGAAGATCGGGCAGTCTTCTTCGCAAATGGCTTGCGGTGCACTGTGCAAAAACTGGGATTGCTTATATTTAAAGAGTGCCTACTCAGCAGTCATAATTTATGTCTTAATAACTTCCATCCTAAACGGCTCCCTTAGGGCTATCTTTGAATTCTGCTTGGCTGTATGCAGGCTGCTGTAAAATGAAAGAGTCCACCTCTTGAACAAAAGAATCCAACTGCCAGGCATATATTACAGCAGTCTTCTAAATGTGCCAAGGTTCCTGCTGATTAATGATAAGAATTAAGGGGACTCTGTCTGTAAGAACATTGAGAATGAGGGGAAAAAAGGTTCATATCAAGACTGAATGACTATCAAGGCTGACTTTGGTTATCTGGCTGACAAGGGAAACTTGATAAATATTTGTTCCATGAATTCGTCTAATTTTCTTTGAAAGCCACACCTAGACCTTCATAGATGTTCTAGTCCAACCCCCTGCTCAAGCAGGAGATCCTAAACCAGTGGTGGCGAACCTATGGCACGCGTGCCAGAGGCGGCATTCAGAGCCCTCTCTGTGGGCACACGTGCCATGCCCCGGAGATGGCAACCGTCTCTCTTCAATCAGCTGCCTGCTAACTTGCCGAGGTCCCACGTGGACGGATGCATCCCGGCATGGCTGGTTTCCCGCCCCCCGTCCCATCCCTCCTGGCCTCACATGCTCTCCTTTTACTGGGCACGACCCACTGCGTCGCCACCTCAGCTATCAGCCGTCTGTCCAGCTCAGAGCGACTTCTCTGAATTGCTGGCGGCGGGCTGCAGAGTCCCAGAGTGCACCGGTCGAGGGGCCGGCAGGCTGTGGCTGCTGACGGACACTGTCGGTCCCCATGCGCTTGCTGGCCTCTGTGTGAGGGGCGATGGTGTCAGGCAACAGCTGCCCCAACCCCTGCCTCACCTTGTCCTGTGACAATGGCACCCCCGCCCTGCCTCACCTTGCCTCGCCTCACCCCACAGGACAAGCCTCCTGCCCACCACCCCACCTGCCAGAGACCCCCTGGATCTCCCCCAACCCTGCCCAGCCCCCACAGGCATCTCTCCCCATGAGTAACATTGAGGTGACCACGCCCACCTTGGCCACACCCACTCAGTCTGTCATGACCACCACAGCCACGCCCACCCAGTGGGCCACGCTGGGTGGAGAGAGAGAGAGAGAGAGAGAGAGGGATGAAGTCTTTAAAAATGATACCTCTGACGTTTTGTGCTGGTTTTCATTATCCGTTCCTGGAGATGGTGTCTTTTCCCACTTTTCTGCAACCTGATTAGCTTCTTCTATCTTTTGCTGGCAACTTTTCTGAGAGTTCAGTAGTGTCACTTCATAGAATTCTTGAATGTCTGTTGGTAAAAGAGAAATAATATGCCTTTTTTAAAAAAATAGAACAATGGCATTTGATGTAACGGAGAGGGAGGTTAGCGATTTTTTTTTTTTACTTACTGAAAATCAGCATATATTATGGACTTGTTGAAAAAATACATTATGCCTGAATACGAGCAGAAGCTGCTGACATAAAAATTCTTATTCTATAGTGCCTAGACTTTTTAAAGGGCCATTTTCCTTAAAAAATATTGCATTAAGCTTTTCATAAATATTATATGAATACATGAATAATGCATGGCCCATCATTACTGAAGGAGGACTAAAAATAGGCATATGCGTTGGAAAGGGCTCCAATATATGCCAAACAATAAATTGTTTTCTCCACAATGTATAATATACATATTGTGGCAGTGTAAGGTAAGGTACCCTGCCTGCATTCCCACAAGCTGCTACCAAACCTTCATAGGTTTCACTACCAGGCCTACAAGATGCAATACATGCAGTCTTTGAATTACGACCGCAATTGAGCCCAAAATTTCTGTTGCTAAGTGAGACATTTGTACTACTACCACTACTACTACTACTACTACTACTACTACTACTACTACTACTACTAATAATAATAATAATAATAATAATAATAATAACAGACAAGCACCTGCAACATAACACCCCAGACTTAACAATTGTCGATAAGAAAGACAAAAAAGTCTGGATAGTGGACGTGGCAGTGCCTGGAGATAGCAGAATAGAAGAGAAAGAACTGGAGAAGATAACAAAATACAAAGACCTACAAATAGAAATAGAAAGACTGTGGCAAAAGCAAGCAAGGGTAGTACCAATAGTCATAGGCTCCTTGGGTGCAATCCCAAAACAACTGGAGCACCACTTGAACACCATTGGCATTGACAAATTCGCTATTAGTCAATTGCAAAAGGCAGCCTTGCTAGGAACTGCTTCCATCCTGCAACGATACTTGTAATACCATCAAACATCCACATCTGCCTATCCCAGGTCCTGGGTAAGGACTCGATAGGTAGACAAAATGCCAAATCCAGTCTGAACATCTGGCTGACTGTGCGATGATCCATAATAATAATAATAATAAAGTTGGAAGGGACCTTGGAGGTTATCAAGTCCAACTCCCTGCTCAGGCAGGTAACCCTATTCCGTTTCGGACAACTGGCTGTCCAATCTCTTCTTAAAAACCTCCAGTGTTGGAGCATTCACCGCATTTGGAGGAAGGTTGTACCACTGGTTAATTGTTCTAATTAAGGAAGTTTCTCCTTAGTTCTAGGTTGCTTCTCTCTTTGGTTAGTTTCCATCCGTTGCTTCTTGTCCTGCCTTCAGGCGCCTTGGAGAATAGTTTGACTCCCTCTTCTCTGGGGCAGCCCCTGAGATATTGGAAACTGCTATCATGTCCCCCTCGTCCTTTTCTTCATTAAACTAGACACACCCAATTCCAGCAGCCGTTCCTTATATGTTTTACCCTCCAGTCCCCTAATCACCTTTGTTGCTCTTCTCTGTACTCTTTCTAGAGTCTCAACATCTTTTTTACATCGTGGTGACCAAAACGTGGTGAGTTTTGCCCCATTTAGCGACCTCTCTTGCCACAGTTGTTAAGCGAAGCACTGCAATTGTCGAGTTAGCAACATGGCTGTTGTGTGAATCTGGATTCCCCACTGACTTTGCTTGTCAGAAGGTCACAAAAGGGGATCACATGAACCTGCAACCATCCTAAAGATGAACCAGTTGTCAAGCATCTCAATTTTGATCACATGACCCTGGGGATGCTGCAGCGGTCTTAAGTGTGAGCCACTGTCGTAAGTCACTTTTTTTCAGTGGCATTGTAATTTTGAATGATCATTAAACAAACGGTTGTAACTTGAGGACTACCTGTACATAAAGTGCCCTTGTAAAAAAAATCTTTACAGCAAGCTGTCAGGCTCAAAGTAGTACATGGAATTCTGGTTAAGCTGATCTACTGCTCATGTCTATATACAATAATCTAATCAACTAATGGTCAGTACTAAACTGGCGCTAGATAAGAATTAACGGAATTCAAGAGGGTTGGACTTAAATGGCTTGTGGGAACATAACAACCCTAGGCTGATTCCTCTCTTGACTCCACCTCCAGGTTCTGACTGTCCTTCTCCTACATAAGGTGAACTAAACCTGAGTAGCCACAGGGAGAAGATTCAGTCAGGAATCTGCGATTTAATAAAATCAAAGTGTTTCTATTCATTGACCATATCTTAAAGATAGTACAAGTAGTTCTCACTTAATAATTGCTCTTTTTAGCAATGGTTTGAAGTGACAACAACACTGAAAAGGTTACGACCAGTTTGCTTAAAGTTCTGTACTACACTGGTAGTTGTGTTTTTAAAAAGAGGTTTCATTGGGAGAACTTTGAAAAGTCTGCCACAGGAACATGTAACATCAAAGAACAAAAGCAGGATAATTTCCGTTTAAAAAAGATTCTTGTGCAATTTATATTAAAATCTAGGGTAAGCAAAAAAAAAAAAGGAGGCTCCATGCTGTGAGCTGCTCAGAGTTGGTTATAAGATGGGTGGCTCTATAAATGTTTTAAATGAATAAAATACATTGAGATGGCAAAGGGGGAAAGTTGTCAATTTTTCTCCATTTGTTTTGTAAAATCCACTTTTAAGCGACAGACCGGAACGCTAATCTACTTAAAAAAATATATTAAGGGGAGAAAAATGGAAGAAGCAGAAGAAATCAATAGGATAGTCTGCAAAAATGTAATGGAAATCAGAAAATCAAAAAGAACACAAATAGGATATGGAAATAAAAGGAAGTTAGCAATAAAATTACATTCATGTAGTCTGGAATTATAGAGACGGTATCACAAAAGTTAATGTTTGGAATAAACTGTGGTTTATCCGAAATAAATGAAAGGAAAAAAAGCCATATACAGCCTATTTACTGAAAATGGAAAAAGACCAAGATTAGGAAAAAAAAAGATAATAAATATGTCGGTTTTGATTTGAGCTACCTTCTCAGTATTTCACTGGAAGACTCTCGAATATATCAAGGCTGAGCATGAGATTAGAAAGTCCAAAATCATTCCAAAATGAAAAGAGATGGGGGGGGGAATCTCGTCTGTGTTATTCCCAATACAAACTTAGGTTTCTGAAGTCACCAGAAATCAAGCTTGACTTTGTTGAAGGAAAAGTCTTCATCATGGTTCAGTCCAAGCCAGGAATAAACAACATGGTGACTGCTTTAGAAAGAAGGTTGCAGTTTATTGAAGAGGAGAATCAGACAGAAAGATGGCTCTGGAAGAAAAGAGAGCAAGCACATGTAGGGAGTGGGTTTTTATACCCTCTGGAGCCTTTTGTTTGGAATTGTTCCTGTGGCATGAACTTTGACCTGAGTTGGAGTGTGCCCTTTGGTATCTGTGGGATAATCCTATTATGTCCTGTCTTAGACTTTGGGTGGGGTATGTAGATTTTAGGTGTCTTTGTCTTCTTAATCTTCTAGCTGGGGGCCTCCAACCTTCCTGGATTATTACATCTGCATTTCTATAGAGCTGGTTTCTGCATGGGGGAGGGAGACTTGGGACTATTAAGAAAATTGGACATGCTTTTATGCCTCTTTAAGATCCTTTGAGAAAATATATTTTTTCTGCCCTTTTAATATATCCTTCTCTGGGGGGCTGACTTCCCACAACTTGAAGGAGATTTCACTTTCAGTTGAGATCATCCTTGCACCATGAGCATTAGAGAAATCTAAGCAGGGAATTCCTATTGACTTGAAATGAATTCAGGTCTCCATAAATCAGTGGTCTTCAAATTTGGCCCTTTTATGACTTGTGGACTTCAACTCCCAGAATTCCTCATCCAGCGTACCATGCTGGCTGAGGAATTCTGGGAGTTGAAGTCTACAAGTCATAAAAGGGCCAAGTTTGAAGACCCCTGCCATAACTAGATAGATAGATGAACTCCCGGAGCAGAAGTCTGCAAACTTGGCAATTTTAAGGCCTGTGGACCTCAACTCCCAGAATTCCTCAGCCATCCACTAGTCTTAAAAGTCATTAAGCCAGCACGGTACAGGTAGACCTCAACTTACAACAGTTTGCTTAGTGACAGTTCAAACTTACAACAGCACTGAAAAAAGTGACTTATGACTATTTTTCACAGTTATGACCTTTCCAGCATCCTCATGATCATGTGGTCAAAATTCAGCTGCTTGGCAACTGACTCATATTTCTGACCGTTGCAGTGTCCTGGGGTCACATGATCACCTTTTGTGACTTTCTGACAAGCAAAGTGGTTGGGAAGCCAGATTCACTCAACAAGAGTGACACAAGAAAGGTTGTCAAATGGGGCAAAATTGTCTCACTTAACAACAAAAATTTGGGCTCAATTGTGGTCGTAAATTGAGGACTACCTGTAGTTGTTAAGCAAACCCACTTTTATTAATATGGGTTTTTTTGTCAGAACATAATTTTATTTTTTTTAGTTTTACACTGCCCAGATTCTGTGTGCTTGAGAGAGAGGGGGGGAGGGAGGGGAGAACTGGCAAAAAAAGTGAAAATCATGGTCACATGACCACAGCAAATGGCCATCAATGTGACCCAGTTGCCAAGCATCCTATATGCGACCACAGGACCATGGGAAGGGCATCACAAATGATTGATAAGCAACTGGTCACTAAGCGAGGCCTACCTGTCTACCTGTCTGTTTGTCTATCCCAGGGGTAGGCAACCTTGCCTCTTTTATGACTCATGGACTTCAACTCCCAGAATTCCTGAGCCAGCATGGCTCAGCTTGGAAACCTCTCCCTTTCCCTCAGCATGGCTGGCTCAGGAATTCTGGGAGTTGAAGTCCACGAGTCATAAAAGAGCCAAGGTTCCCCACCCCTGGTCTATCCATCCCAGGTCCCCATCCATATTAATAGAGCCATAGTGAGGCAGCTTTTATTTTTGTTTTGCTTTTCCATTTTTTAAAAAAATGTCAAACCGTAAACTCATCTAAACATTAGGAACTCTTGT